CCGGACATTTCTGCGCCTGCCGGGAGGCCTCCGGGCCCCCTCCTGTCAGTAATCCCGGGCTGCACCTGGTGTGGGCCCAGGAAGATGGCGGCCTGCTGGGGGGGCTCTCCCGAGTCCCGTGGCCTCGAGCGAGCCGTGGCCTTGAGCGAGAGGCCTCCCCCTCACCTCTGTGCGCACGCCTGCAAGATGGAGCCACAGCCCAGGCGGCGTGAGGACCACCGGCCATCGATGCACCCGGGGCTCGCGGCGCAGGGCTCTGGTCACCCCCCGCTTGTGTCGGGACCTGGACGCGTGTCACGCGCGCCTGCCGTTTCCAGGCTGACGTGCAAGGGGCCAGGCCGGGGGCTCCTCCCCTGCCTGGAGACCTGTGCTCTGTGTCACGCCTGCCCTCACCCCGTTCCGACCGGAGCCAGTTCTGCTGGCTTTCTCCTCTCGCCCGAGGCCTCGTGCCTCACCCAGCCTCCACGTCCCGTCTGTGCAGCGGGCTGGACATGGCCGGGAGGGTCACGTCCCCAGATGACCTGGCCTCCAGCCCTGCCTCCTGCAGCCGTCTCTGGCCTCGACCTTGTCACATCCACAGAGCACCTGGGCCCGCTGGGGAGGCCTTCCTCCCTCAGCCTTGGCCTCCCAAGGTCCTGGGGTGGGAACTTGAAGCGTCGCTCCCACGGTGAAGACAAGGGTGCTTGCCCGCGGCACGCCTTGGCCCCTGGGGTCCCCGGCAGACCCCTGGGGGCCGGTGCAGCCCCGGGTGCGGGCGGTGGGGCTGGGTGTGTCTGGCAAGTCCCTTGTCCCTGGGCTCCGTGAGATGGGCTGGGCTCACGCAGGGCGGCGGTGCGGCGGTGCGGCGCCTGTGGAGTCATGTCCTGAGATGCTGGTGGCTGAGCCAGGGCCCTTGGTGGGCACCTGCCACGCACGGTCCGGAGAGGTTGCGTCTGGGTCCTGCAAAGCGGGGCGGTGATGCCGCAGACCCCAGGGAGGGCGTGCACTCAGGGCCCTGCTCCCCCTCCCCCACAGCTCCTCCTCCCAGGTTCCCGCCCCTCAGAGTCCTTCGGCCTCACAGAGCCCCTTCCCCACACAGCTCCCTCCTCCTCGCAGAGAACATTGATTCCGTGTCCAGGTGGCCCAGAGGAGGTGGCTGTCCTCACGCTCAGGACCTGTAGAACCTGCCGCGCCGACGGGCCTCTCTGCCCCTCTGTCCGTGGCACGCAGCATCAGGAAGGGAGCCCGGGTGTGGCGCCGGACGGCGGAGGCAGTGCCGGCCTCCACTGGAGCACGCCGCTGTGTCTGCTCGGTCTGACGGTCCCCTCGGCCTCGAGGCCACGGGCAGGGCTGGGGTGGGCCCCCCTGGTCCGCAGCGTCCCCCGGAAGGGGCCCTGGCTCCCCGTGGCACGGAGGAGGCCTGCGGGAAGAGCCCTCGCGCTCCTGGGTCATGGGCCCTCAAGCTCGGCCGCTCCCCGGGGAGCCGCTCCCCGGGGAGCCGCCACGTGCAGGCGCTGCCTCGCCCTCACCCTGCCCTGGCCGCGCCCACCCCGACCCCTGAGCTCCCGACGGAAGCGAGTGGTTTCTGCAGAATGAAACAGTCACTGTTTCCAACCGGCCTTGGAGCCGCCAAAAATGCGGAGTATTCCGCGTCCGGCCACGGCCGAGTGGGCGGCGTTTCTCGGAGGACCGTCCCACGGCCGCCCCGCCACGCACTGCCCTCCAAGGCCCCGCTGCCCCTGGCCGGGGGACGGGACCCCACGCCCCTGCCGGCCCCCGAGCGGGAGCCCCGTGCCCTCGAGGCCCAGGAGGGGGCCCCAACGCTGCCCAGAGGCGCTCGTCTGGTGTGCGGGACGGACGGACGGACGGACGGAAGCTGCCTCCTCCTGGGGGGGCTCCTCCAAGGCAGCCTCGGCCGCGCGTGGAGCCTGTGGCTGGCTCGCCTTCAAGCGGGGAGCCGAGGCCCACCGAGCCCGTCGGCCGGGGCGCAGAGGCTGTGGCCCATCCCCGCCCTGGGAGATGCTGTGCCCTCCCACTGACCTTGCAGAGCTTCAGGGGGAAAGACGCCCAGAGCACCTGGGGCAGGAGAAGTCGCAGCCCTGTCCCCCTGCTGGGGCTGTCGGTGCGAGGGCCTGCTGGACCCCCAGAGGGCCACGGGCAGGGCCTTCCCCGAGAGGCCCCTTCTGGCTCTTTCGGCCGTGCCTCCGTGCCTCCTCGCCGGCGCGCCGGCTGGGTACATGCCGGGACCCCAACCTTTCCATCCCAATGTCTCCGGCGCCGAGACTGCCTCGTCCTGGCCCAGCCGTTGCAGGTCCCTGGGGACGGATCTCGCCCCACACGGCCTCCGCGCCCACCCCGAGGGTGGCAAAGCCTTGCCGGATCCTGGGGAGGTGGCAGCGGCATGTCAGAAGAGAAGATGCCACCAGGTGTGCTGAGACTCATGATCCAGTGGAGGCCGTCCCTGTAGCTGGAGACTTCACGAGCTTGTCGGGGGACACTTGCAGCTCCATGGCAACCCTACTCTCCCTGAGCCCAGAGCCACCCTCCTCTCTGGTCGAGGCCTGTGCCCGACCTGGGCGTGCTGGCCCCATGGCAGGGCTGAGTCTCGCCATCCCCTCCCCTGGAACCAAGAGCCAGGACTCATCCAAACAGCAGCACCCTCCAGAGTTCCTCCAGGGCCGCCGGATGGAAAGCCCAACCCTTTGCTCCGGAGGCAGGAGGGCAGTGGTCGTGGGCTCCTGTCATTCTCGGCTCAGCAGAGTCACACTAAGATGGCCTGTGGAGTCAGTCTGGCCTGGAGGGGGGAGGGGGGGACCGCAGGTCAGTCCTACTCCCAGACGTTCAGTGACCCCAACAGAGCCTGGTCCCTTCTGGACCCCAGTTTCCTCATCGGTAAGTTGATCAGATCAGACCAGATGAGACCTGGGCTGCCCAGAAGTTCGTATACAAGATGCACTGACTGACTTGCTTGACTATGATTTGTTCTGAGTTTCTGGTCCATCTGGAGCCCATCCTTGCATGTGGTATGAGGCGGAATCCACCTGCGTGCTTTTGCGTGTGGACGTCCACGGATCCCAGTGCCGTCTGCTGAAAAGACCCTTCTTCCCGTTGAATGGCCTTGACACCCTTGGCAAGTCGGTTGGTCACAGATGTGTCGGTCTGTGTGTGGGCTCTCGGTTCTGGTCCACTGGCCTCCATTTCTCTCCCGTGCCTCGTGTCTTCAGGACTGGGGCTTACAGTTTGACATCAGGAGTCCTCTGGCTCTGTTCTTGGTGAGGACGGCCTTCAGCTCGTCTAGTTGCCCTGGCTAGAACCTCCTGTGGCCTGTCCGCCAGAAGTGGCCACAGTGGACATCTTGCCTTGCTCCTGACCTGGGGGGCAAAGTTTTATGTCTTTTGCCATTAAATGGGATGCCAGCTCTGGGTCCTTTAGCAAGCTGACGAAGTTCTTTCTGTGGTTTTTAA